GATTGCAAATATTTGCCCCCACTCCTATTTTCTGGGTTATCTTTTCACTTTTCAGTAATGTCCTTGGATACAAAATGTTTTAAATTTTCATGAAGCCCAACTTACCTGACTTTTTTTTGTCTTGTTGAATGCCATACTTTTGTTAAGAATGGAGAAATAAAGAAATAAATTGACAGTAGGTAGATACCGGGAATAAGAAAAAAGAAAATTTATTGCATACCTAAGGCATAAGGGCATTGGGCCCAAAGAAGAGCAAGATAGTTGACCCTTATGTACAGTTTAAAGAGGTGGGGCTTGGGCATCTAGAGTGAAAGCAGGTGGTCTAGTCCATGGAAAGCTCTCTAAAGCAGTTCTTAGAAGGAAATTTGGAATAGTAAAAATCTGTATTAAAAGAAAAGCCTCAAACCAATCACCTAACTTTCTATGTTAAGACACTACAAAAAGAAAAGCAAACTAAACCCAAAGGGGGAAAAAAGCAAAGATGGAGATAATAAAAATCACAGTGGAAATATATGAAAAAGACACTGGAGAAACAGTAAGACGGTGAATGAGAAAATCAGTAAAACTGCCAAACATTTAGATAGAATGACCAAGAAAAAAACACTTTCCTTCTGTGGGTGAGGCAAACAACAGAACCTTTCTCTGACAGGCTGTTGGAAAACTGCGCTGCTCAGGATCCCAAAACAACAGAAGGCAAGAGGGCCGAGAGCAGGGATGGAAACCAGTCAATTCTCTTTTTGGAAAGTGTTCTGCTGGGTTAACAAAATCACAACTGCTAGCTTGAGCCAACATCTTTGGTCTGCATGTGGCTGGGCCCTGGGAAAAGATGTTACAAGTAACATTTAGAGTTTGTATGAAAAATAAAAAAGTTTGTCAGCTTGCTTTGAAATCCAAAAATAAATGAATAAATAAATTTCCAAAAGAAAGAAAAGACAGACAGACAGAAAGAAAACTGCTTCAGCTGTGTCCCATATATTTTAGTTTATTTGGTTCTCATTTTCATTTGATTATTTTTGTGATATGTTCTTTGAGGCAATACTTATTAATAGTATATTGTTTAATTTCTGCATAATTGTGATTTTTCTAAATTTCTTTCTCTTAATGGCTTTTCCTTTCATTTCTTTGTAGTCAGAGAACATATGTCATATGATTTCATGTCTTTAAATTTATCGAGGCTTGTTTTATGGTTTAGCATATGATGTATTTTGGAAAATATTCCATGTGTACTTGTGAGGAATGTGCTTTCTGGCTGTTGCTGGGTGGTGTGCTGTTTGAGTTTTTTATTTACTAGTTGATCTTTTGCCTAGTTGCTCTATTCATAATTGAAAGGGGGATGTTGAATTCTCCAACTATTACTGCTGAGTTTTCTGTTTCTCATTTCAGTTCTGTCAGATTTTGCTTCAAGTATTTTAGGACTATATTGTTAGTTGCAATTTTTTATTTATTTATTTATTTATTTGGTACTAGGGATTGAACTTGGGACCTTGCACTTGCGAGGCAGGCGGCAGAACCACTGAGCTAAATTCTCCGCCCAGTTGTAAATTTTTTAACTGTTGTTATCTCTTGCTAGATTGATTCTTTTACCATTATGTAAGGTCCTTCTTTTACTTTAGTAATAATTTCAGAGTCCATTATGCATAGAAACTCTAGATATGTCTTTTGGGTATTGTTTGCATATCTTTGTGAAATTTTCTATTTATGTATTTTTGTGGTACTGGTGATTGAATCTAAGGACAGTCTACCACCGAGCTACATCCAAGTCCCTTTTTTAATTTTTTGAGACAGGGTCTCACTAAATTCCCCAGGCTGTCCTTGAACTTGGAGTTCTCCTGCTTCATTCCCCTGAACAGCTGGGATAACAGGTATACAGCATCACACCTGGCTTTTATTTTTGACTGACAAATAAGTATAATTTTATAGTGTACAATATAATATTTCAATATCTTTTTCCATCCTTTTTTGGAGTTATTTTGTGTTTGAGTCTCAGGCATGTCTCTTGTAGGCAGCCTAGAGTTGGATTATGATTTTTTTAAAAATCCATTCAACCTCTGCATTTTCATTAGAGCTTTAGCCCATTTTAATTTAATGTAATTGCTGATAAGATAGGATATACATCTGCAGTTTTGCTGTTTGTTTTCTGTATGTTTTATATCTTTTATTCTTGTCTGTAGTTCCATCATTGTCTTCTTTATTTAAAAGATATTATTCTAGTATGAAATTTTAATTTCTTGGTTATTTATATCTTTTGGGTCAATTTCTTAGTGGTTGTCCTGATGATTACAGTTAACACTTTAATTCATAACAATTTAGTTTGGGTCAGTATCAACTTAATTTTCAGAGTATAATGAAGTTTTATTCCTGTGCAGCCACCTGAGAGCCTACATCTGGCCTCACCATAATGGTTGTCTCAAAAGAGACTTCCTACATGGGATCCAAGAGTAAGTGCTCCTAGTGAAAAAGATGGAAGCTGCAAAGCCTTTTATGACCTCATCTCCGAACTAACACAGCATCACTTCTGCGGTATTCCTTTTTGTAGCAGTCTCTGGTCTACCCAGATTCACAACAGGGGACATTGACCCTGCCTTTTGATGGAAAGACAGGCAAATAATTTGCAGGCATGCTATAAAACTGTTATAACAGGTAGCGAAATCAAGACATAGATATTGTGCCAACGTAATTTGTTTGGTAAACATAGAGCTTCTCGGTGTTAATTATAAGACTTTTTTGCTTAAAAGTAAAGGAATTGAGATAAGAATTACAGATTTGTGGGGGCCGGGGATTTAGCTCAGTGGTTCCGGAGCCTGCCTTGCGAGCACAAGGTCCTGAGTTTGATCCCCAGTACAAAAAAAAAAAAAAAAGAATTACAGATTTGCTTCTCTCTTCCCACTTCCTTCGATGTGTATGTGTGGGGTGAGGGAAGCAGCATGCAGGCCCCATCTTGGGAAGAGGGATACCACCTTTCCCAGGAGGAAGTGTATTGCCTCTGAAGAAGAGGCAGGCCAAGTGTTTCCTCCCATTCCAGGCTAAGGTGAGAGGCTTCTTTTTCTTCACAGTTTGCTATCTACTGTCCAACCTTCACAGGACGGGAACCTAATGGGAAGAGATGACTGAAGAAACACTATAGAATACTGTATATTTGAAAGTAGGGTTAAACAGGCCTCTTCTAGGGCCAACAACAGATATGGGCAGATTTTTAGAGACTACCTCGACTTTAGATTTTTGAAATCATCTTCAGTAATTTATACATTCACATTTTTGTACTAGGAGATAAATATGTTATTAAATGTAAATATTTAAAATATATGAAATATTTTATAATGTTAAGAGCCTTAGAAAATATAAATTTGGGTCTTTCTAGATCTCTCACAATGTAAGCTGAAAAAGACTTGAAAGAAGCTAACCTATGTATCACTCTCCCCAAATCTCAGTGGATGACGTCCCAGAATTAGAGGCTGAACAATGTGACTATTAATGCCTAGGATAGACTAAAAGATAATTCTCACCCCATCCCACTGCACCTGTGCTGCAGAGGACTAGAAAAGAAGTTGGAGCTCGGGCTGGTCTTAAACATGAGCTCTGGTCATGTATGAGAATATTCAGACAACGTCAGGAGGTTAGAACTGGGGCTTGCAGGAATAAGGCTCATGTGGTGACCTGGAGGTGCCCAATCTGGTCCCCGTCAGAGTGCCATGGAGACCTCAGGTGCAAGGTAGCAAAGTGCAGTAAATCTCTTCCTCCACCAGTGGTGAGTCACTTGGGGACCGAGTCCCATGTACTTTCCCTATTTCCCTAAAACACGATTGAACAGGCCCTGGTGACTCAGGAGGATGAGGGACGCAAAAACATTAAAGGACTGCTCTGGGCTCAAGAGGAGGAAGGAAGGGCAACCATGGGATCCCCAGAGGGAGCATTCTCAGCCTTCTTGGACAGGCAAGGCCACTCCTACCTCCTTCAGTCTCTTGGGTTTACTGGTAGCATCGATACTAAGACAGCTATTAACAATTTCTATATAACATTCATAGAACATTTAAAAAAACGAAAAAGACCCCTTGCCAAGAAAAGGGAGAGTACATAAGTGCAAGGAAGCAGACTGGGCAGCAACCTAATCTCTATGTCATTGCTCCTCCACATGAATAATCCTGAAGATATTAAAGTAACTGGAAGGCCAAAGATGTATTCAGAATTTGTGTCCACAAATGGAACACTTATTTTTGAGTCTCTAGGAAACACACAAAATTTTACCAAATGTCTTTTTTAAAAAAACTTAAATGAGCTTTAAAGGAAATAGAATAAAACTTATTTTCTAGTCACAATACAACAAACCAAAAATTAAAAGGACAATGGCAAAACTATACAGCTCATGAGTCAAAAGGGAATTATAATGAAAACGAAAGTAACAATTTTGAAATCAATAACATAATAAAAACTATGAAATGTGACCAAAACCATACTTTGAAAATCATTAGTCTTAAATGCTTTTATCATTAAAAAGAATGGCAATACAATATGCTTGGTATTTATTGAAAGCCTGTACTGCACAGGGCCTGAAAGCATATATTTTATTTACTCTTTTTAGTACTTATAAAGTGTGTATTGTCTTTTGCCCTTCATAATAGACAGTTTGGGACTGTATATGTGCTAGTGAGGTATATCCATGCAATATTATAACTATGCAATCTGTTTCCAAGAACAATATCATGTTTCTTCATTCAATGCCACAGATATTTACTAATGCTTATTATATGCAGGGCACTGTAACAAAGAGAAGAATATGAGACATTCTGTCTTATAAAAATCTAATCATGCTTGTTCATAACATACATAAGGGAGGTTGTCAGTATTAAATGCTAAAAACAACGGATAATCAGTGTAGTATGGTTGCAGACAGAAAAGTGATCCCAACTTGGAATGGGGACAGAAGTCAAATGTGATGCTTGTTGCCAGTGTTCTGGGGAGCATCTCTTAAGTTGTTCAAACAATTAATGCAAGAGAAACAGGAATAGCATACACATTTCCATTTTATTAAAATATTGTATAAATACAGAGCAGTTGGGCACATCCATTCTAAGGCACTGTTTTCTGGTTTGAATGCGATTCCACAAGAGAGAAAAGAGAAGCCATTACATTCGGTATTTTTCATCTCTACATTCAGACTCCTCCCATATTACATGTCTATTGCTACTGAGATCTCAATTTTAACCCTAAAAATATAGCAGCATCATACAGGGACCTGGATGTCAAGAGTTAAAGACACATCCTGGCTCTGGCACTTGATATGATTTGGCACTTAATTACAAACTCTCTTGCATTGTTCTCCATGTGTTCCCCAACTCTTGTTTATAACTAGAGATATTATAAACTCTTTTATGAGCCTGACCCATGAATTGTACTTCTTTACTAGCTTCTGTTAAGCCTAGAACAGGACTAGTTAGGCACATAGCAGATACTCCCAAATGCTTAGATATCAGTTGCAAGCAATTCAGTGCAATAGAAGAGATATACCTCCCTAGTCCTAGTTAAGGAAAGAATGACTGGATATCTTCATAAAAGAAAAATGCTTGAATGTCCTATTTCTTGTATATTACAACAAGGAACTAGGCTCAATGAATATTTTCACATGCTAACAGCTTTAACTGATAATGAGACTTCTTCCCTCATGTGGGAATTTGAGTTGTTACCACGATTATATGGGAATATTTATATAAGCAACAACTGTGTGTGTGTGTAATTATAAGTAAAATTCAAAAAGGGTGATAATCACTGGCAACTTTTAATTTGCCTGAATTTGTGATCCTCACCTTCTTAAAATGGTATTGTGTATGGATCTGTATTTGTGTGTGCGTGTATGTGTACTTATAAGGAAAATGAAGAGGTTGACAATCACTGAACAATTTATAAATGATATAAATTAGTGATCCTCACCTCCTTGAAATGATATATGTGTGTATTATACAAAAGATGTATATATATATATATATATATATATTTTTTTTGGTACCAGGGATAGAACTGGGGTCCTTGTGCTTGCGCAGCAGGCGGCAAAACCACTGAGCTAAATCCCTGGCCAAAAAGATGTATATTTTTAAAGAATTTTTTTATAATACCCTTAAAACAACTGGAGATAACTAGCTTGGGAGCAACAGAACAATATTGTAGTTAAAGAAATATTTGTTTAAGGTAGTGTATTCCAAGGGACATTTGCAGAATAATAGTTCTGTAAGTTATCATTGAATGAACAAGAAAAGAGGTGTACTGGGTTCAAGTAAGTTTGGAAAACATTGAGCCAAAGAGGTGCTTTCTCCTCCTTTACTAGCAGATCTCTCCCAGAGTCTCATACGCTGATGTGCACTATGAATCCAGGAAGGGGAAATAGCAGGAAGCAACTCAGAAACTTACTTGCAGAGTATCTTGCAGAACTAAGTGTTCTATGACACATTCTTACAGGAGACAATGAACTAAGGAATGGGTAAAATTTCAAAAGCACTGAAAGACACATGAGTGAATTACCAAAAGAGAGTAAAAAGCCATGGATACTGATTCTTCAGTCAATCTCAGTTAAATTAGATCCTACTTGTACAACTTCCACAGTCAAGTGAGTTCTTTACTTTTTGTGGTAATGGAGATCAAACCCAGGGCCTTGCCCCACCCTTTTTTGATGTTCTATTTTGGGACAAGTTCTTGGTAAGTCATTAATTTTCTCAGGCTGGACTCAAAAATGCGATCCTCCTTCTTCAGCCTCTCAGAGTGCTGGGATTATAGATGTGCACCACACCTGGCTTCAAGTGGACTCTTCTAGACCTAGAGCTAAATTATCAATACTAGGCACCATCACCACAGCCTGCCAACTGAGCAGACCAGCAAACTTTGCAAAGTTCAGAAGTAAAGGTTAAAATCTAAATTTTCTTAAATATAAAAATTTTAATGGAAATAACCCAGTTCTCACCAGGAAAATGATAACCCCTCCATTCTTGTGCTCCTGACGTAATTTTATTGTTTGACAAAATTCACTATCTCCATTCTTGCCACTTTGGAACATCTAAAGTTTTGAGTTCATCTTTAATAATTACACAGCAGAGTATGTATGGTACTTCTACAACAGATAGGTCAATAGACATGGTTATCCATTATACTGATCCTACCCCTAAAAGGTCTGTCATCATTTTTATGCTTTATGCTTATACTTAGGACATGGCTGCCTTGGAACATAAAATCTCCTATTTTAATAAAAAAGAGTTGTGGAGACAGGATAAATCAAGTTAGGAAAGCTGCTAATATAGGTGGCTCTTCTACAACTCATATGCCACTGAAGATGGATTTTAAAAATAGCCCCTCCCCACACCTTTTGTAAAGAAAGATTGAAATATATCAACACTTGGAATTCTTATACTGTCTGCAGTTTTGAATTCTCAAAATAAAAATGCTAATAACCCCCCCCCAAAAAAAACTGTTGTCATGAGTTCAAACAAAAAGGTCCTTCCAAACAAACAGGCTACTGCAGGTTACAATTTTTTTGAGTTAGTGTTAGCTTCTGTAGGACCTGTTTCCCTCAACAATTCTTAAAGCAGTCCTCTAAAATGAGTGACTTGGTGCATAATAAGGCCTGCTCTCTGTCTGAAGCTTTTAGAACAATGACTACACTTATATGGCTTTTCCCCTGTATGGATTCTTAAGTGAATAACGAGGCTTGGCCTCTGCCTAAAGCTTTTCCCACAGTAATTACATTTAAATGGTCTCTCTTCAGTATGTGTTCTCTGGTGCAAAGTAAGCGCGGTCAGTCTACTAAAACTTTTCCCACAATTATGACATCTGTGAGGTTTTTCACCTGTGTGAGTTTTCAGATGTCTTTTAAGACTTGATCCATGACAAAAACTCTTCCCACATTCAAGGCATTTATATGTTTCTTCTTCAGAATGAGTTCTCTGGTGCCCAATAAGGTGTGACCGCCGCGTGAATCGCTTTTTACACACAGTACATTCATAGGGTCTCTCTCCTGTGTGAAGTCGTTGGTGTCTATAAAGGTCTGAACTACGAAGGAATCTTTTTCCACATTCAGGGCATTTGTGAGGTTCTTCCCCTGAATGAATTCTCTGATGCCCAGTAAGTTGTGACTTCCGAGCAAAACATTTTCCACACTGAGGACATCGGTGAGGTTTCTCTCCTGGATTCTTCTTCTTTTGGGGCCTAGGGTTGAGAGGTTCTTCCAAGCTGCTGCTCTCAAGTGTCTCGCCTAGAGTGGGGTTCTGCTGATCCACGAGTTTAGTTAAATCTGTCTGTAAATCCTCCGGGGGTAGCTCCCATTGATTTTCTAATGGTACATAGTCTTTTTCCATAACGGGACCATGCAGAGAATTCCCCTCTAAAGTTACAATAAATGGATATATATTCTCCAGTTTTTTCTGTTTTGAAGCATCTTCTTCATTTTCTAACCCCATATCAAAACCTGAGAAAAGAAATAGAAACTGAAGATGTTAATTGTATTCTAAGAGAAAAATAAATGAAGGAAAACCAAAAGTCGTATTAAACCATTAGCAGGAATATAGAAATTCTTAAGCAGAATACAAAGCTCTTCACCCAGATTAAGACTCAATTTTTCTGTTCTTTCTTCCCTAGCATGTCAATGAACAATTACTTACCTATCTTGGAATCAAGTAATTGTTTCATTTCTTTGGAATCCTGTAATTCCTTTACCCATGGCTCTTCTCGCTGCTCCAGTGGGAAGTTTACATCAAGCTTTGGCAGTGGATATCCTGGTTATAGGAAAGAAGAGAAGCATAATAGTTTAGTTCATCAAAAGCTGTCCCAGAATTTAGGCTGATTTCTTGGACACAGGGCCCCTTAATATCCACTTCCTCCTCACATACTATGATTTCATCTGGAGTCACTTATAATAGTTTTTTTAAAAGATAAGAAAACAAAAAATGAAGATAATATACTTTTGTGCTCACTTCAAGGCTACTCTCTAACGTATGGACAGTGAGAGAATCAATTGTGTGCTGAAATCAGTGCACTAAATTACTTCTGCATCTATTCTGATAATAGATCTACTTAGCTTAGAGCTAAAATGTGATATGAATCATCATAAAATTTTGGCATACTAAAAGTGGGAAATAGTACTGAATGCTGGGTGAAAATAGAAAGGTAAAAGTAGGAGGCAGTAAGCTATTTAATGGAATAAGTTCAGTTAAGACTTTCAAATTAAAATGGAAATTGAACTGAGCTGGCAGCCAGGAAAAGTAGTCCTTGTTTCGGTTAATGTCCAGAAGTGGGGTTTTCTTAAAATTAAGCCAAATGATGATCAAACTGTGCTTCTAACTGTAAATCAAAGGACATGACACACAAGTAAAGCTTCTACCCCTTGCTCTCTCCTATCTAGCCGTCACCCCCACCCCATCCTCATTGACAGCCACTGTGGCTGGCATCCTGTTTTCCATGCTCCTTCCTCACCTTTCTCATCTCTAGCCAAGTGTACTACTTTGCACTGAAAAGTGGGTTGGAAATGACCAATTTGAGATCTAAATGTGAGGTAATGGCTTTATATCAGCATTATTAAGATAGCATGAGCAAATCAGTTTAGCTAATGTTAATCCAAAGAAAAATTTAAATTTCTGAACATTATATCATGACATAAGAAGTGGACTAAATTTTATTTGTTTTATGGTGTCAAGACCATATATTTCCTTTTTAAGATTAGGAAACACAAAGATGGATTTCAAACAAATGGTGCTTAAATTTACTATTTTGTTTTTGTTTGGGTGAGACTAAAGGGTAATATGGAATAAGTCAAATAAAACTGAAGGTTGTAGATCAAAGTAAAGCTGTTGCGCAGTAAAAGAAGGAGTAAACTGAAACTTAGAAGTGAGTAGCAAAGGCCTAGGTGTAAAATGCTGATTTATAATCTAAATGTAGAGAGGAGCTTGTGGATGGACTCCTAGCATGACACTGTAATGTGCGCTGCAGATCCATCTCTCAGCGAAACCGGTGAAATTTTAAAAGTAAAAAACAAAACACATAAAGTTTGTCCAAATGATCCTGAGATCAGAAAACAAAACAAGGACTGCTTTCAACAGGTGGAGGAACGGTGTGATCTGACTGACATCATGGGCACCCTCTTGCTCCCCCCTCCTCCCCAAGAGTGGCCTGGCGCCGCTGACCCCAGTGTCTTTGTGCCACCTCTGTAGCTGCTTCAGTACCTGCCCTCTAGGCCATGCTGACAGAAGCCAAGGCTCCTCTGACAACTATGATGTCTCCCCCTGACTTTCAACTGCTGATACTGACTCTCTAAGGAGCAACAGAAAACTGGCACCTGACAAGACAAAGATCAGGGAGGGACTGGGCCCACTGCTGATATCCTCAATGGGCCTTGGTCAACATGGCCACACCTCCTGGAGATCCCCTGAAAACAGTATCAGTAATGATTTTAGCCCCATCATTTCAGGGAAACATGGGAACTGTCAATCAAGCAGCTACTTCCCATGAAGTTTGGCAGAGCTTTTATGAGCAAAGGTGATACTACATGCCCCACAGACATCCAGGGAGATATTTGCCTTGGCCAAGCAGGCACGAACCTATCCCAGATGATGCTGTCCTGCAACTATTCTGGAAAATTCTACTATATAACATTCAGATGACTGTACACCCCCCCTGTTACTACTGCAAAAGTCTCCAAGTGGGTCTGTGAAATGCAGAAAACTACTCATGTATAGCCTGCTCCTCCTCTATATAAGCAGCACTCCCTTACACTTCTTGGGTCAGTTAAGGAGGGCTCCCTCCTGTGCACTACCTTCCTCTGCTGCAGCACAGGTCCCAGTAAAGCCTTGCTTGAGTAGTCCTATTGTCTATACATGATTCATATTTTGGGTAAAGTGGGATGAGCAGGTTGCAGCAAAAAAGTGCTTGTGATACTAGGACCTATTAGCCCTAAACAGCTCTAGAGAGCAGTGGAGCAATGAAGAGCCAAGACTGGTGGCAACCAGTGGTAACTTGCAGTGAACTGTCGAGACTACCAGAGAGGCAGTGGAAGCTGGTGGAAGAGCTGAAGAAAGCAGCCTTGGCTGCTGAGGTGCTAATAGGGGTGGCGGGAGCCACCAAGAGCTATAACATCAAGAACTAAGAGACACGATACTGAAAGCTCAGAGCTGTAACCCTAATGGGTGAGAGCCACTGGCACTCAAAGCCTGGAACTGCTAACATCAAACTGCGATTTCTATCTGAATTGAGTAAAAGAACCTGTGGCCAACTGGTGACAGTCTTAAGGACACAGAGCAAATGAAGAAAGATTTGAGAAAATCAATTAAAATTCTTTAAGAACAATGTGAATTTGAGGCATCGGAATCTCAATGGCTTCCCTTACCTCTCACTTTCAGTTACTTCCATCACAGAATGGTGTAGCCAAAAGTCCTGGATACCCTCTTCCCCACAGCTACATGCAGAGGAATCTCTTCTGGGACTTTTACTAAAATATATACAAGTTGGTACACTTAATGGCACCTTGCTTTTCCCTGAGACCCCATTCATTTTTCACTTTTGCCTTTCTGTTCTTATGATAGCATAATTTGCAATGATTTGTCATCAAGCTCACTAATTCTCTCTTCTGATGGTTCAAATGTACCTTTGAACGACTCTAGTAACTTTTTCATTACAGTTTTCTATAGTTTGGATCTATAATGTCCCTCACAGGACCATGTGTTAAAGGCTTGGTCCCCAGATTCATGCTATTGGGTGGCAGTGAAAACTTTAAGACATGGTACCTAGTGAGAGGTTTTAGGTAATTATGGGCATGCCCTTGAAAAGGACTTTGGGACCCTAGTGCCTTCCTCTTTCTCTTTTTCATTCATGGCTATGAGATGAATGGCTTTGTTCCACAATGTACTCTTTAGCCTGGTGTGCTGCCTGTCCATAGTCCAAAAAGCAAAGGGGCCACCACTCTACCCCTCCAAAGCTATGAATCAAAATAAAACTTTTCCATTTTATAAATTGATTATCTCAGATATTTGTTACATTAATGGAAAGCTGACTGACAGCTATTAGACTTTTCAACTCTAAAATTACCACTTGATTTTTTAAAATTTCTGTTTATTGACATTCTCTATTGTGATACTGTCACAACTTCTTTACTTTTTAAATCACGTGTTTTTCCTTAAGTTCTTGAAACATGTTAGTAATGGCAACTTTGAAGTCTTTGTTAAATCTCTATCTAGTAAAAACTCATAAGCAGATTCTACTGCATGCTTTTCTCCCCTCAATAATATGAATCATACTTTCCTGTCCAATGCATGTCTTATAATTTTGTTGGAAACTGGACATTTTAGATAATATATTCCAGCAACTCTATGTCATCCCCGAGTACTTTGCATTGCTATTTGCTTATTTGTTTAGTGAATGGCTGGACAATTTTAGTGAAGTCTATCTCCTACAATACTAAGAAAGAAATATTAAACTGACATTTCTCCTATGGCAAAGTCACCCTTGAACCATAGTTATTTCTACTGGGCTGCAGAAAAAAAAATTGAAAATATAATGGCCCTAAATTCTCCAAGTGTATTGAAAAAATTATTCCAGTATCTAGAAAGTTCAATGAATTCCATGCAGGTGAATACAAGGGGATTCACAGACATATCATAGTCCTAAAAGTCACATAAAGAGGTAAAACCTTGAAAGACAGGAAGTGAGAAATGACTGGTCAGTTACAAAGGACCCTCAATGAAATTAAAAACTGAGTTCACATCAGAAACAGTGGAGGATAGGAGGCAGTGGCATGACATATTCAAAGTAATCAGAGAAAAATGAAAATTGTCAACCAAGAATCTTACCTTCAGCAAATCTATCTTTCAAAAATGAATATGGAATAGAGATATTCCTGAGAAACGAAACTGAGAGAATTCACTGCTAGCAGACATGGAAGTTCCTCATTCTAAATGAAATTTGATCCACATTTTAAAAAACAGCACAAATAAAGGTAATTATGTAATTAGAAAGGATAGTTTAACTGAAAACTTGTTTCTCCTCTTAAAGGCTTAAAATACAAGTGCTATAACAGAAATGTAATGTACTTGCCAATAGGAGCACAGATGAGATGGGCAAGAGCAAAGCTATACAGGATTAAAAAAATAACTACTTTGGTAATTCAAATCTACAGGGACAAATGAAGAAAATCAGGAATGATAAATAATGTCAATATAACAAAAGTTCGAGTAGACCTTTTGTAGATGGGAAGAAGATCTAGGGATAGAGGGAAGGGGAGGGAGAAGGGAAAGGGAAGTAATAAGGACTAAGATATGATATGTATATGCACCAACTCCACATGCTGAATGTGTTCATTATGTATTGCACATATGTACTAATAAAAATGAATAAAACATTTAAAAAATTTCAAAAATAAAACACAAATAACAAAACCATAATGTATTTCCTTCTCTCAGCTTTTGTTAAAGTCTTAAAATTATACAAAGTAATGACCATAAGAATGAATTGTTGGGTTTATAATATTTTTGATGTACTAAGTATGAGAGCAATATCACAAAAGGGAAGAAATATGTATAGAGCTATATAGAACAAATATTTTTATATCTTATTGGTATTAAGTTAGTATATCTTTGAAGCTGATTATAAGATCAGATATTCATGGAAAAACCATAGATCAACCACGAAGGAAGTAAATCTAAAAACTGTGAAAATACACTAAGGTAAGTAAAATGTTAGAAATATTTATTTAATGCAAAAGAAAGCAGTAGAAGGGGCAGAGGAACAAAAAAGACAAAAATCAGAAATAGAAAGTTAAGTGGCAGATGTAAATCTAACCACATAAAAAAGATTAAATGTGAATGGATTAAGCAACTCAGTGAAAAGGCAGAGAAACTCAGATTGGATTTTTTTCAAAGATCCAACTATATACTGACTACAGTAGATACACTTTAGGTTCAAAGGTACAACAGATTGAAAGTAAAGGTATGGAGAAACATATATTCTGTAAATAACAGCCACAAAATAACTAAACAACATAGATATTAAATCTAAAAAAGGCCAGGTGTGGTAGCACATGTCTGTAATCCCATCATTCTGGGAAACTAAGGTAGGAGGATCACAAATTCAAGCAGGGCCTTGGCAACTCAGCACCTCAGCAAGACCCTATCTCAAAATAGAAAAGGACTCAGGATGGCGCTCAGTGCAAGGGCTCTGTGTTCAATCCCCAGTACTGGCAAATAAATAAAAAACAAAGGAACAACATAGAAAGAGAAGAGTGACAGCAATTAACTTTTCTAAACTTCAGTTTCTTCACCTGAAAATGGGGGTATCAAGCCAAATATGGTGGCACATGCCTATACCTACCTGTATTCCCAGCACTTTGGGAGGGTAAGGCAGGAGGACCACAACTTTGAGCCTAGTCTGGGCAACTTAGCGACTTAGTGAGATCCTTTGTCTAAATAAAACATTTTTAAAAGGCTGGGGACATAGTTCAGTGTCATGGCCCTAGGTTTCAATTTTCAGCATCTATCTATGTATCTCTCTCTCTCTCTCTCTCTCTCTCTCTCTCTCTCTCTCTCTCTCCCTCCCTGTCTTTCTGTCTCTCTTTCTCTCTCTGTCTCTCTCTTTCTCTCTCTGTCTCTCTCTCTCTCTGTCTCTCTCAAACACACACACAAAGTTACTACAGATAAAGATAATCATTTTATGATAATAAAAAGAATAAATGTTTCATGAAACTATAACATCTAAGAACATACATGCAGTCGAAATACATGAAGCAAAAACTGACAGAAACAGTAAAACTAGACAATTCTACAGCAAGACACTTCAATAAATCCTTCAAAAATCTAGGTAAAAGATCAACAACAGAAGATATAGAAAATACTACAAACAAACTAAACATAACAGACATTCATAGAACACTCCAGCCAACAACAGAAACACACATTCTTCACAAGTACACACAGAAGAACTTCCAGGGCATATGAGGTGCTGCACCATAAAACAAACACTGCAAAATGTAAAAGTATCAAAATTACAAAATATATTCTCCCACCAAAATTAAATGAAAAACTGAGATTTTCACAAATAGGTGGAAATTAAACAATATGCTGCTTAATAACTAATCAGTCAAAACAACCAAAAAAGGAAATCAAGACTATTTTGAGATAAATGGAAATGAACACACTGCATACCAAAATGTAAGGCATATACATAAAGCTTTGCTTATAAGGAAATTTATACCTGTAAATGCCTACATTAAACAGGAAAAACTGAAATAATAACCCAATTTTCCATCTTAAAATACTAGAAAAAGAAGAGCAAATTCAGTTGGAAACAACTAGAAAGAGGAAAATAATAAAGATTTCAGTAGGATCTAATGAAACAGAAAACTGTAAAACAACAGAGAAAGTCATTGAAACCAATGTTGTTTCTTTGGAAACAACAAAATTGACAAAGCTTACCTAAGCTGGTCAAGAGGTTTTTTTAATGCTAATATCCTTCTTGAATCACTTTGTAGTTTTTACTAAAGTGCTTTTGTTTTACAAGGATTGTGTTTTTATTTATATAAATATCATTAAGTGACTAATATGTGTGTGTGCATGCACATTTTATATCTATCCAACAACTTAGTTTTTTTGGTGACAGGAAAAAATTCCAACCTTTGAAATAAAATTTATCAATTTCTTACATTACTTATAAATTTCTTCTCCACATAGCCAGTGTCTTGCGCTTTTCCTCTCCAATAGGATGCACTTCATGCAATACATCAAGATGTTTTCATTAAAAAAGGTAAAAGGTGTAAGTAACCTTTAAATAATGGAACAATAAGTCTTCCATGATTTTGCAAAGCACAGTTTATCAATTTAAACAGTAATGAAAACAGGATAATTTCCTGTCCCTCAAATTTGTACTTTTTTACTTAATTAATTATACCTATTTTTGGTAAATAGAATGGATTTCCATGTGATTTAGAGTAAAATATTAACACCAAGAGTAATACTGCTGCTGTATGATCTTTGTACCTGCAATGTTGACAAAAGAAGCATAATTAACATGGAGAATCAGAATGCACATGAAGACTTATAATTTAATAGGACTAGTTAAGTTCTATCATTTGTTGAAAGTAAATATACATCAACACATTTGTTAAAATTTAAAAGACCATGAAATGAAGGTAATGTAAAGATTGGAACATAGATGAAATTATTATATAGTTCTGCTTTGACATGGCCCTGTGCTAGTCATGGGTGCATCAGACATTTCTACTTCTGTAAGTCAGACTGCTCTCTACCTAACTCCCTTATGTCATTCTCACCTGCTGTCTCAGTACTATGCAGTCAAAGTGCCGACCTGTTGAAGCTGTGGCAGGGGAGGAAGGGTGGAGGGCTCTTGGCCATACCTGGACCAAAGCCTTAATGGCGACAAGAGCTGTGCCCGGGAGTCTGTGTTAACAAGATAAGAAAACCCTACAGGGGAGGGAAATTCAGGGGAATCTGGGTCATGCCGTATAGCAGCCTTTCTCCACCCAGAAGTTTTCCTCCTAGAACTCACCCTGCCATACTTCTCAAATTTGTGTGTTGCCAACAGTCACCTGGAGAGCTTGTTGAACATATAAACCGGATGATGCAGACATACAGCACATTCAGACACACTGGTCTAGGTGGGGATTTCATGACATATGTATTCCTACATTATGGAAGAGACTGAAGCCTCCTAAAGGATCTGCCAAGAGAATGTTCCTAAAGTATTAACTTTGAATGAGGCTCTTAAGCCCTAGGGACAAGCAATAACACAGATGCTGTGGGTCAAAATTTGCTGGAAAAATGAGGCCTCACCCAGAGTATCCAAACTTCCATGGCTTTCCTGTGTAGCATTCTTGGTCAAGGCCACTGAGTATTAGTTTCACCAGTTCCCAACACTATTCTCTCCAAAGTTCCCTACTATTCCCAGACTTTCCCTTATTCTTTCCTTTCTCCTCCTTGTGTTACCCTTTTCTCCTCTTTTCCCTCTCTCTTCTTTCTCCTACTGCTCTTCCTCTTTATGTGAACAGTGTATTTCCACTGAGAAGCCTGCATTTCCAACCCATCCCCAGTCCTTGAGTACACTTGAGCTCTCACACAGAAACAAAGGAGCATAAACAAGACCCTCTCTTACCAGTGTCCAGAAAGGGCTGGCATGTTCCAGCATCACCGTAGTTCAGCTCCTGTGGCCCTGCCTGTGGGATCCAGGCCTCTGTGACTGAGGCCTCTGGGACAGGACCCATTACCTGGAGGGCAGGTGACTCCAGATGCATGTCTGGTGGCATGGGTACTGTTCCTACTGGCGCCAGTTCTTCCAAAAGTATGTCATGCATGTCAACCTGGGGGAAAGGCCAGAACCTATCACTTTCTGTTCAGACCCACTGGATGTACAGTTAGCTTTTGCTCACTCAGAAGTAATACATTGTCCACTAGCAATACAGAGAGCCATGCATATAGTTTTAAATGTTTCAGTGGCCACATGAAATAGTGCATGAGAAGAAACACGACAGGTCAACCCAAGTAACATGTCATATTGAATCCAAGATATCCCAACCATCAGGATTTCAACATGTCATCAATACAATTACTACTGAGATCATTCACCTAAGGTTCCCCTTAATACTACGTCTTCTGCATGTGATATGCGTTTCCCACTCAACACAAGTCTGAATTAGCACTGGCCACATTTTAAGTGTTCAAGCTCCACTCATGGCTAGTGCCTACTGTGCTGGGCAGGGCATGCCTAGATCACTGGAAGATAAAGTCATGTATAGGTAACAAAATGAGTGAGAGAGAGAAAGAGAGAAAAGAATGGAACCCACTAGGCCAAGGTACTCTAGGGAGGGAGGAATGACTAGACCACTGCTGTTCAGGCTTTTGTCAAGAAGACTGGTGACTTACCTTGAAGCCAATGGCTCCTGCCAAACCCACGCCACACCACACTCAGGATCCCGAGTCTCCAAGTGGAAGCACAAGCTCCCTTCTTCCAGAGACACTGCCCTCTGCTCAGTCTGCCCTTCCTGAAGATGCTTTGCATGATGGTGGCTCTAAATAAGGGGTAGTACCACTGCCCCTGCCCCCTAACAGGCCAGAGACAGGAGCATCACTCTCAATGCAGAGTTGTTTCAGGTTCCTACCAACAGTGGAATTTACCTTCAAGTATCTGTGTAGGTAAAAAGCACCTGCCAAGAACCACATCTTGTTGATCAGAGACAAGCCATTTCTGCATACTTTAGCATGACTTGGGTTTCCTAGGAATGCACTACTGTGGAAATCCCAGGAAGACTACACTATTTGTTGTTCCAATTGATAAAGGACTGTTTGCCACTTTGGGAACTCACATGGCAAACAGCAATGTTGTTCATGGTACTTGAGCCATAGTCTGAACTCCTGACTGCCCATCACAGTGATGCTAAGCCGTGATACAGGTATCTGACCACTTTATGAATGCTTCTGGTGAAGTCAATTCTAGGCATTCTTATGCAGAAATGCCTGTTAGCTTATAATGAACTATGCACCTTTCTCTTTATATCTGTTCTAGACTTGACTTGACTCAGGTTTGACAAGCTGTTTCTGTAAAAGAGCAAAATAGCAAATATTTTCAGCTTTAGGGGCCATATTTATGGTCTCATTTATTTTCCTTCTTTCCAAAAAAGAAACAAATTTTAACAATGTAAAAATCATTATCTTCTCCCAGGTACACACAAAAAGGGCTAAGATCAGATGTAGCCTATTGATCAAACAGCAAATTATTGATGATGCGTTATAATGTATATGTTAAAGAAGAGTATAAGGCCTGATAGGATTGTGAACCACTGACTTACATGCTAACTGCAGTAGAAGAATAAAGTGAAAAGAACTATGGAGAAATCTTGAGGATATATAATGACACAGAGATAAAATCTCTGGTCTAGACCCAGCCGCTTTGGTTCCTCTTTTGGTCTAACAACAAAGACCCCAAACCCTTTTCTCACCTGTTGTTCCGGTATCTCAAGTTCTCTCTGTAAGTCTTCTATCAGTGATACAACTCTTTCTCTATTCTCTGGGCAGTGTTCCCTCACCCAGGTCTCTATCTCTGTGGGCAGAATAGTGAGGAATTGCTCCAGCACGAGCAGCTCCAGGATTTGCTCCTTAGAACGCATCTTTGGCTTCAGCCACTGACAGCAAAGCTCCCACAGTTTGTTGAAGGCTTCATGAGGCCCAGCTGCTTCAGTGTACTGGAACTGCCTGAAGCGTTGGCGGAAGACCTCACAGTCAGTGTCATACTCTTGTAGCACAGAGCCCTGATTCAAGGAGGCCTGGATTGCACAGCCCAGGGCCACCGCCATAGCCCCTTCCAGAAGCCTGGAGTTTATCTGGTGCCTGAAGTCTCAGATTCCAGTTTGTTTCTCTCTGTAATAATCCTGAGGGGAGCCACCTGCAGCTGAAGGGAGGGAGACACGAGAAATGACAAACAGCAATGGTTACAATAGGGCATACTTACTGCCCTTAAGTTATTTTTTAACCACAGACCAAAACGAGCAATTCATAATCTTTCTGGTGGTTTGTAGAGTCTAGTAAAAGCTAGCCTCACTTCCTAGACAAATACCCATATACATCCAATTCCTAATACTTTCAAAAGTTTACAAAATCTCAAAGTTCCTCCACATACCCTATAGAATGGTGTTCTACAGTATGATAGCCACTAGTCCTATGTGACACTTTAGTTCAAAATTCAGTTTTTCAGTAATACTAGCTAAATTTCAAGTGCTCAATAAATATCATTGCCAAATTTCTGCTGAATAGCTCTTCTCTGTAATTCCACAATCCCAATGCAACGGACCCTACCCTTAATAAGTCCCCATAGATCTACTGACATTTAATCCCACTTCCAGTCTAACTCCAAGTATCTCGTGTTTCTGAATATATGAAAATACTGTATAAGAGGACCATGAACATTACATTTGAATAACTTTGAATATTCATCTAGCTCTCAGTATACTTTAGTATCATGCAATCAAGGTGAATTTAGGTAGAGCCATGTTTTACAAAGACAGAATATTGTCAATCCCTCATTCGTCTCCACTCAGGATATGTATAGTTCAGCCAAAATCACTCAGTCTCTTCCTCCCATAGCATTCCAAATGGCTCTTCTATGAGAAAATACACTGCACAGGACAGGTCATGAGGAATCTGCTCTGAATTTATAATGAAGGACTCTCATCAAATTCAGGCAATGTACTGTTCTAAGTATCCTGCATGTATCAGTTCAGTTAAACCTCTTCCAACTTCAGGAGTAGGTATTAGTGCTATTCCCTGAATGAAGATGAGGAACAAAGGTTTGATGCTTAGCGGAATTGAATATCTCCTCCAAGTCACACTGAAAATGCCAAAGGGAAATGGTGATGAGGTTAGAATCAATAGTCTCCAGACTGGGGATTTAGCTCAGTGGTTCCACTACCTGCCTCGAAAGAACAAGGTCCCGACTTCCATCCTCGCTACAAAAAAAAAAAAAGTCTCCAGTAATTAGAATATCTAAAACCATCAAGATGCTTTTATTGCAATCATTGAGATCACAGAAAGGTTATAGAAGTGGTATTCCACAGGTCTCAGGACCTGTACCTGCTCTTGTACTATAGAGCTCTCTCTGCATTTGCTGAATCAATCTCAATCTCTCCCTCTCTCCCTCACTGTTCCCCCACCCTGCACTCTCTCTTTCTTTCTCTCTCTGTATTTGCTGTTATAGGTCCTGTACCTTTTTTCTTCCCCAGAGGAGGATCATTAAAAAGAAATACTCATGACTATTTCCCCCCGGTCAAGCAAAATTTAAATGGTGTCTCCATACCACCCTTTATCAAGATGGTAACCTGAACTCTGTGGCAGATGGATGTAGGCATGATAAGCGGCTAGCTGTGTGACCCTGAACATCAGTGCCTGTCTGCAACACATATATAATTGTAACAACTTCATAAAATATCCTGCCTGGATCCAACTGTATGGAAAGCGAATAGCTGCGTGCCTGGCACAAGGAAAAGGCTCAATTAAGGTTTATTGCTGGACAAGTCTCCTTTCTAGGAAGCTTCTACTTTCCTGAGCCTAGCCATCTAACCGTTGCTGGAAGGCATCCAGGAACTGTGGCTTTTTGGCGGTGGACCCACCCGTTAATCGGATCCAGCCTCACAGCTGGCCAGCCCTCCCCTAAGTGACCCAAAACCTTCCACCACGTCTACCAGGGAAGTGACCCTCCGGGTTTCCTTCCATCGGCCCTTCCCAGTTAAAAGTTCACTTCACTGTGGGGTAAGTGATTTCCCCCCAAACCTCCCAGTCCTGAGCCCACCCTCATAGGGCCTACGAGTACAGCGATGTGAGAAAAGAGGGCATTTGGTTAAAGGCAAGAGTGACATATCCCTGAAAAATCTAAAAGCCAATGTAAAAAAGGACGCTGGTGCTTCGGGCGTGGTTCTGGAGCGCTCCTGGGCGACGAGGTCCCGCCGCCCAGAGGTGCACTCCCAGCCCGGGAGGATTCACAGGAAGGCCTGGCCGGGTCTCAAGGAGCTGCGGCGGGGTCCCTGATCCGATAAGGGGCCCAACGCCCCACGCAGCCCTTGGCGCCCACCGCCCGGGGCATATCTGGAATCTACCTGGCCGCCTGGCCCAGGCAGGCGAAGGGAACCCCTTTACCCGCGCCCGCGCCCCAGGGACGGCCACGCCCTCTGGCCGCTCCGGGACTCACCGCCTCAGCGCCCACTGCTCTCCCAAGCTCACCCGCAAATGCTCAAGGCGCAGGCGCGGAGTCACGCTGTGGACTACATCTCCCGGCAGGCCTCACGCCGCCTACTGAGTTCAGGACCCGCAAGGATGCTGACGTGAGAGGGGCCGGGGCTCTCCCGAGCTTCCTAGCTCTAAACTGCGTTGGAAGTGCTCTCATTTCCGGTCTAATGACTTCTTGGCCCCAGGGTGTCTTGGTGGGGCCAGCTGGGGGTCAGGAACTAAGTGAGGGTTTCTGTCCAATAGCCTTAGAGTAACCGGAGTAGGTGGAAAACCTTTTTTAAATGTTGTGACCTAGTCAGTGATTCTCAAACCTCTGTGTGGAGAACACTTTAAAATAAGATGGAATTGTATAACCCTAAGTGTGCTATAACTATAAGTGTGCTGTAACCCTAAAGTATGCTGTGACTTTAAGAGTGCTGTGAGTGATATGTAACCATAGTAACCATAAGATATAGAAGTAGAACCTTAAGCGGTGTGGAATTGATAAGGATGCACCCCATACTGGACAGGGCGTGGTCCAAAATGGACAGTGTGATAAGTCTGAACCAATACCACAAACGCCCAGTTAGAATAGTATAAAAGGAGCTGAAGACCTCAAGCAAGTCGACGATCCGTCCCACCGACCAGTCTACTAGTCAGTCTGTTGATCTGACTACCGACTGAGACACCTGCACCTGATCCCGCTGGAAGAAGCATCGCCGCTGACCAGACGAGACCAGAGGATGAGGTCAGCGGAGAGACAGATAGCCTAGCGCTGACTCGACGCCCTTCGTCTATGGATCAGACCCTCTGACCCGACGGGAGGAAACGTCGCGCTCCCATAAGGACTTGCGCAGTACAGGTACAGGGACGTGGTAATTGGCAGACTTAATATCGTCTTATTTAATATCGTGTGATAATTGCATAGAAGTGAATTATAGTAATATAAGTGTGTGAACTGCCATCCGAGTCTGAGTCCTCTTTACCCTTGGTACCTGCTCGCAACAGCCTGTGTGTGTGTGGGGGGGGGGGGTTCTTGGAAGAGCTTTGTTTTAAATTCAGATTTTTGGGCCCCACCCAACACACTGACATATTGGATCTCTTGTGAACCTAGGGATTCACATTTAATAGGCTTTCCTGGAGATCAGACTCCAGTCTTCTGCCGCTAGTCGAGTCACAGTGGCCTTGGATTTTCTTGGTAGTTTCCTCTTGAAGAACTGAGCTTCAGTTTATCGACTTTGTCCATTTCTTTGCACCTTCAGCCTGACACCAGAGGTCTCTTGGGTCTTAAGGTTCGCCCTCTGATATGGCCTTGTGTGTTCCAATTGGTCCTTGCTGGTCCTGCCCTGGGAAACTAATTTTCCCTTCTCATTGGACAGCAGCCAATTGTGTCAAGGCCTAATCCAATGGCCATTAGATACAGTAATCCTAATTGGAAGAAGTAGTCCTCAAGTTGGTCCCAAGCTGGTACTGCTGGTATGTAGATAGAACACTTGAGTGCTAGGATTTTGTGCCTGGGAGCCAAGACCTAGAAATGGATGGGTCCATAACAGCGAGTTGAAAGCTTCCTGTATTTGTGCTTCCAGGAGACTGATGGAAGGAAACCAGGAGAATGGGCTAACAGGAACTGGTCTCTCAGAGCCCACTGAGACCAAGACACTACAGACAGCTCTCCACAGACCCAAGTTGTTCTCTATGGGCAAGACTTGGAGACCCAGGAATTCAGAGTCCTGATGAAGCTGTCATTTCTCTCACATGACCACAGACACCTTAGATAGATACCAGCAAAGATTGGGGTTGCTGATTCCCAGCTAAGGTGGTCCAGCAGCCTGAGAGTGGTGTCAGGTCCTGACTCCCAGGGGAAAAGTCTCCTTGTGATAGTGAAAGTGCAGGAGCTCTTGTCACTGGAGCCAGGAGCTGTCCCTACTCAACCAAGTGCCTGGCCAGGAGGCTATCCACTTTGCTTTCGAGGATTTTACTTCTAAAAGACTACGGGGTGCCCAGAAATCTTCAGGCTGTCCCTGGAGCTTTGCCTTGGATGGTTGCAGCCTGAGATGGGTGCCTGGGAGCAGGTATGGAGTTTCTAATGCTGGAGTAAGTCCAACAGTCCTGTCCCAGGAGATCCACAGAAAGATGCAGAGGTTGCATTTGAATAGCTGTGAAGAAGCTGCAACTGGGTACCGTGGAAGATGCCAAATCACCCTGCTGCAGACAGGCAGCCACCTGGTTCCACACTACAAAGACGCAGAGGACACCAGACCACCAGACCAAGGTACTGAGTCCCTCTGTTCCCGGCCCAGAG